ATTTTAGGGTTCTGTACATTTTTTCTATTCATTTATAGAATTTACTTGGTTTTATACATGATACTTTGTGTTATTTTTATTAGAATTAAATGTTGCGTTTATTTTCCTCTTTATGAAAGATTTCATGTCAATATTAACAATATTTATAATTATAATGTAAAATAAAATCTAATAGTATTTTTTTTATATTTTCAGGGACTTGTCTAACAACAGCATAACGGAATTGTTGCCAAGAGCTTTCGCAGAATACGAACAGCTAGAAGAATTGTAGTATTTCTACCAGGATGGTTTTCGTTTTATCATCGAAAAAATCTTAATGCAAAATAAGGATATACTTCTACAGCTTGATGCAGAAAAATATAACACGAAAATATATTATTCTTGCATAAGTAGTGGAGATAATGTCGGTTGCTATATTATCTTATATTTGCTATACGACATTCGTATTGGGCCAAGACATCCATTTGCATAATTTGTGTAATATATTCTGATAGCAATTATGCAGATACCGTTAATGGAAACTTTAATGTAGCTAAAGTTTATGGTAATGCTTTCCCCAATTACTATTATTCATTATCATACTGTTTTGTTTTCAATTGCATTTTTTGAATCTGAAATAAATGAATAAATAATTGCAATGCTTATATTATGTAAAGTTGCTTGTTATTTAACTGCTGCTGATGATTTTGTTTTCAACTTTTATGTGGATACAATATTTGGAAATACTTATTTGGATTTAATATTTCTGAAACAATGTTAAAAAGTTATTGAATTTGTATCAACAGTTGTAAAAGGCCCATTAAGTAATTTATAACTAGAAAAGCTGAATATGTTAAAACACAAAGGTCTAATTTGACTTTTAATAATTATACTGTGAAAACCAAATCAACAACAACACAATGCATAACATATATAAAACAAACTCTTGGTGCATGACATCGTGCCTTAAGCCAAATTGCTGGAACGTCCCGTACCAGAATTAAATTTTCGAAAAAAAAAATCAATAAATATTAAATGATGATTAATAACAATTTTTTTTAAATATTTTCAAAAAAAAAACTATAATTATTATATACTTATTTCATCGCATATTATATACAGTGACGATCTCGAAACACTTAAAATGTTTACATTAAGAAGAGATGCCGAATGAATTCATCTGAGGATATATTTCTTACGATTACAATAACGCATATGAAATACATACATTTTTAAATTAAATTGTAAATTCAAAATTTATATTTTAAGTATAAAACTTTGTATGTTTTTGAAAATTTTGAAAAAAAATTATCTGAAATTTTGAAATTTGTTTGAATCTTATAAGTGAACTTCAAAAATTAAAAAGTTTCTGAATCATTCAAATCGGACGCTCCGTTATCTCAAAAACTGAATTACCATTTTTTCCCATATCTTCGAAACGGCTGGACCTGCCTTTGCCAAAAACTAATCAGCACGTTTTCCCATCAGTAGGAATCGAATCAGTAGGAAGTGGACGAAAAATTGTATCCAAATGTATACACACACATCCATTTTTTTGTAAGGTATGCCAAAATTTCTCAAACGTACATATATGCAACATTTTCATTTTCGATTTTTTAACTTCCCGTAGGGCAAGTTATAGTAATCGCAAAAAAATCGAAAATGAAAATTTTTATATATCTTTACGTTTCAGAGGTTTCTGAACATTTTGGCATACCTTAGAAAAAATGATTGTATGTGTGTGTGTGTGTATGTATGTATGTATGTACGCGTGTGTATGTATGTGCGGATACAAATTTTTGTCGACGATTTTGGGGTCACGAAACAACCGATTTGAATAATTTAAAAACATTCGATTTGTATTGATAAGGAGACGTGCTGATTAGTTTTTGGCGAAGGCAGGTCTAGCCGTTCCGAAGATACGGGGCAAAAAGTGCCAAAAACGGTACGTCCGTTTTTAAGAAACGGAGCGTCTGATTTGAATAATTCAAAAAACATTTTACTTGTATTGATAAGATGTAAAATTGATCAAATTTTCATGAAGGCAGGTCTAGCGGTTTCGGAGATCTAATGAAAAAAGTAAAAAAAATGCCATTCGGCGGTTAAAAATGATCATTAGACATATGCACATCAAATTATCAGATATTTCATAGAGATTTTAACAATAAGTATAAATTTTTTTTACATTTTTATGGGTTCCGTACCAATGCTTATGCGTTAGACGGCGGCGCGGGCACTTGCGAGCTTTGACATTTTGTCTCTATGCAGTTCAAGCAGTGCGATTGCTTTGAAAAAAAAGTTCAGAATTTCCAAAATATGTCAAAATGAAGAAAACATTTTTTTCTCAAAAAATTTTGTTTTCAAAAAAAAAATTTTTTTTTCAAAAAAAAATTTGTTTTTTCAATAATTTTTTTTTTTCAAAAAAAGTAATTTTTCGAAGTAAATTTTTTTCAAAAATGTTAATCGTTTTTAAAAAAATAATAATTTTTGGTACGGGAAGTTCCAGCAATTTGCCTTAAGGCACGATGCCCTAATTGCCTTAAGACAGAATTTCACTTACAGCTAGTTGCGATATATATTTCGAATATTTTGCGACTATAACTTATCTACGCTTATCATATAATTATCAGTATAATTACCCATTGTAAAGAAGGTTTTGTTGTTTTTTTACACCAACCACATGTATTGTGGTTTAGAGGTTATCAAACTAAATGGGTACACATTATTAAAATCTCTATAAAATATCTGATAATTTTATGTACACATTTCGAATAAACATTTTTGACCGTCAAATGACATTTTTTAACTTATTTTTATTGAGAGTCCATAACCGCTGAACCTGCCTTCCCAAAAACTTAATCAGTTCTTCATCTTGTCAATACAAGTAAAATGGTTTGAGTTATTAAAATAGAACACTCTGTTCTCTTAAAAACTGAGTTACTTATAAATATTAGACAATGTTACAATATTTATAATAATCTATCCGAAAACATTCAATATTCCTCGAACATTTCGTTACGGTACGGGAAGTTCCAGCAATTTGCCTTAAGGCACGATGCTATAACCCCACTAGTTGTTAATTGTTATGGTAGACCTTTTTACTTGCAGGCCTTTAAGCTCCGCTTCACCTATTACTGTCATACAGTTGTACTGTCAAACGCAACAAATATGCTTACGTAGAGCAACGGCAAATTACAATTTATCTAATTACAATGTTTATCAAACTTATTATAAATGAATGAAAAATATTTTGTTATTTTAGAAATTTGTCCGAAAATCGGTTGCTGACGTTAAATCGAGATGCCTTCGTCGGGTGCAAGGTTTTGAAGAAGTTACACATGCAGAAATGCGGGCTGCTTCAAGTTCCAACTGAAGCTCTACAACCACTACGAATGCTCAACACTCTGTAAGTAAAATTATGATATGCAGATATATTTATACAAATTCGAATAATAAAAGACTTATTGTTTGTGTTGTTAAATTATAAATCATCACTAGCTGGATTGCGTTTCGAAATTTTGAAAATTAATTAAAATCAATAATTAATATAACTTTTCTGACAACTCTGTATTACTCATCTGTTTATGTGGAAGAGATATATCAAGTTACAAAGGTATATTTCATATTTGGGTGGATAATTTTGTTTCAATTAGTTTCATTTTAGAAACCAGTTTTATTAATCGTAAAATTCTTATGGGCCAATCAAAATATATAAAGAACAACCGTTTTTATTAAATTTTACAAAAGTTCCAATAATCCGAACTAATATCTAATGGTATAATGGCATCAACTGTTTAAAAAAAATTAAAAATTTCAATTATTTGAGTTAATATCCAATTATAAAACGTATCGACTGTTTTTAGAAAAAATGAAATATCTTTCAATATTTGGAATTACGCTAATTTTTGTCAAGGTCGTTTTGTATATGAAATCGGGTCAAAAATAAGTATTTCATATTGCACTTATAGAATTATGATTTTTTATTAATATTTAAATATTGTGCAAACTTTTTTTAACTTACTTTTTGTATCTGTACGCATAATGAAAATTCTCCAAATATTTAAAAGGCTACTAGATTCTTATAACACTGACAATGGCAATTAATTAAAATTAATTAAATGAGTGTTAATTCAAAACAAACAAAAAACTATTATATTATTTTAAACTATTATATATATATAATATATATATATATATATATATATATATATATATATACATATATATATATATATATATATATCTGGCCCTTTTTATCCCATTAACTCTATTAAATTTTTTATTTACCATTTTTGTATTGTTCACACCTTGCCAGAGTAAAGACTCAGGTGATTTTTTTTACCCCACACACATTTAAGCTTTTATATAGGTTATATAAAATATAGTTGAATCTAACTTAAAATTAACAATACATTTCATAAAATAATAAAAAAAAATAATACTTAAAATAAATTGAGGTATCGTAAGCCTTATGAGCTCCAAACCAAAAAAATACCAACGAGAGGTACTTTTGTTATGAATATTCAACATTGCCGTTTATTCCTGATCGCGATGTCGTAAGAATTTTTGTGATTGGTTACACATCTTTTGCACTCTACTTTAGAATAGTATTGTTAAAAAAATGTATAATTAATTTGAGTTTGAGATAATGGTGGTGAGCCTTTTTACCTGCAGTCTTTAATTATATGTAATTCTAAAATAATCTGCATTTTAAAATGTGTATAATATATTCTAAATTTTACAACTTTATCTGCACATAAATTGCAACAGATAATGAGAAATATTTTTCATGCTGATTTGAATACCAAAAAGTGTTATTATACATAGTATAATACATACAAAACTTTTTATTGTTTATACACACATCCTCGGGTTTTAAACGGTAGATACGTTCCAGAAAAAATCGTGTAATCGTGTATTAAGAAAAATAATAAAGACGATATAAATAATTACCGTCCCATTTCCCTTTTCAACTCTTTCGATAAAGTAATTGAAAAAATCTTGCATACTAGATGAACGTCTTTTCTCAATAAATATAATATTTTGTTCAAGAATTAGCATGGTTTCCAGAAGAACCATTCTACTTCCCACTCAATTTATAATTTAGTTCATAACATCATTGACTCCTTCGAAGAAGCCACATATTGTACTGCAATATTTTGCGATCTGTCTAAAGCTTTTGATAGTATTTCTTATCAAAGACTTCTTGACAAATTAGAAAATTGAGGTATTCGCGGACGATCACTTAAACTATTTGAATCTTGCCTGTCTAATCGAACACGAAGCGTTTACTTAAATAATGATCACGAGCAAATAATTTCGGATAAATTGACAAGTACATTGGGTGTGCCCCAAAGATCAATTTTAGGGCCTCTCTTATTTCTCATATATATTAATGATTTACCCTATTATACAAATCTTTGTGATTTTATTCTTTTTGCGGATAACACCAGCGTTATCATCAAGGCCAAATCTCTTAATGAATTACAACATAAATTAAGTGCGGTTATGTCAGGAATAACGAAATGGTTTTGTGAAAATAATCTAGTCGTAAATTATGATAAGACCGAAATCATATTATTTTGTACAAAAAATCGTTTATCCAATAATATTACTTCTTTAACCATCAATAATTTAGCATTTAATTTTTCGCAAGTATTAAAGTTTCTCGGTATTCATATTAATAATAATTTAAAGTGGACTTATCATATCTCTATCTCACTATCACCAACTTTATCTAGAACATGTTTTATGTTGCGCACCCTAAAACCCAAACTTGGTTTAAATTTTGTTTACTTTCAATTTATTATAGCAACTTTTATTCTCACGTTTTATATGGCATCCAATTCTGGGGTTTTTTATCCGAACTAATTAAACATATTTAAGCTTCAGAAAAGAGCTATTCGAATAATTTTTTCCTTGCCCAGTAAAGTCTCCTGCAGACCCATATTTAAAGAATTAGCTTTTTATGACATTATTGAATTTTCTCAATTTGATTTCAATAACTATTTTTGCATAATCCTTATATTTTATCTATGTAGTCTGACCATTTGATCGCCTATACAACCATGTGTTTTTTCTTGCTATTTTATTGATTTAAATTTTTACGGTCAAATAAGTATAACTTTCAACCTTGTGCAAGAATTTTGAGCTTGACTGGTAGTCAAATAGACATTAATATGATGAACTTGATGATGAACATTGTATTTAATGTTCGGATGCTTTTTTTCAGCTCTTTTTTCAGAAACGAAATTCGTGCAGCTATTATGATTATTCTAAAATTACTATCTGTTTAATATTAATTAAGAATAAGCTTGACAAGAGCCGGAAATAAAATGCATTAGTATTGATTACAGCTTGCTTAGGAATAAATAAATAAATAAATATTATATAAATAATATGATATAAATTTTATGTCCCTATCTCGTGGTGGCATACATTGCATTGCAGGATTTGCAGGACTCTCAAGCATTATTAGCATGCATTGTGGTTATCACAAATTGTAACAAAATATATTAACATTATCTGTTTTTAAAAATCCTGTCTGTTATTTGCATAATCAAAACAAAATATTATCGATAATAACGAAACCAGAAAGCGCAGATATAATACGCCTATTTAACAATGCGATCGCCGAGTAGCCGTGTCAAGGGCGCGACGTCTTGTATGATTGCTTATTAAATAATAATATTTTCAACATCTTACAATATTTTCTATGTTATCATGTGAAAATAGCGCTTTCTGGACATTGCTCCATGAAATTAAAAATATATTGTTTAGTATTAGAAATTTTTTAATAATAATAATATTAACATATCAATAAATTTAGGGTAACCATTGGGTTGCCTACTAATGAGCGACATTGTTACGGAAAAACTTACCACAACAGCTTGTGATACTGTTAAATGTTAATTGCTGTTCAAAAATAGGAAAATATATATATCATATATAATAATACATATGTATATTAAAATTAAACACTACATAACATGGATCACATCACATCGTACCATGATGCTGGAAATTTTTATTAGATTTTTTATTTAATCCATTATTAATATTTATGATTTTCCAAAATTAATTATTTTGGAATCTAGATTTTAAAAATTTAGCGTTCTTGGTTTTTGCAATTTCTAATATTACATATTTCACATTTTTCTATTTTTGAAAATTTTTGTTTCGAAGTTCAAAATTTTTTGAAATTGCCACTTTTAACATAGCGAATTAAATATTAACAATTTGAGTTCTAAAGTCAATAAATATTCCACAAATTTTGAATATATTTTTAATGATTTTTATTTATAAGAGACAAGAGCCTGAAATAATATTTATTATTATTGATTACGGCTTGCTTATGAATAAATAAATAAACTAGTGGTGTATGGCATCGTGCCTTACGGCAAATTGCTGGTACTTTCCGTACCTTAATGAAATATTCGAGTAACATTAAATATTTTCAAATACATTATTATAATTATTTGAAGTATTATATATAACTATTTTAGAACTTTAGCTAGAATTAGAATTAAAAACCGAATAATTTTTCCTTATTCAAAAAAAAAAATTAAATTAAAAAAAAATAAGAAAAAAATCTTTTCTCAAAAGCAATCCTTTCATCGACACAAGCAGAAAGTTTTTTGTATCATTCAAATCGGATGCTTAGTTCTTTCAAAAACTGCTATTTTTTGCACTTTGCACAAAAACAATGAGAAAATGCTCTAGGAAACGTTGATGATGTTAAAATAATCAGGAATGTCAATTGTCTTATATCTATGATACGAATAAACATACATATTTATTTTTTATTACAGATAAAAATTTTTTAAAGATAACTTATAGCTAATATTTAAACGCAGCTATATCAGTTTTTTTTATTTCAACAGAAATCAGAACTTAAAAATTTTATGATCTGTTGTGATGATACTTCTTTACTACGTGAATTTTGAAAACGCAAACCAACAGTTAGTCTGTTTGTATGTTTTCATTATTATGATTTCTCTAATAATGAAGATATATTTTTAATATATTGCAAGGTAAGGGTTATTTTCACTATACTTCCAACTGAAAACCAAGGCCACTTCTGCTTGACATCAGGCTATCCGAGGTGGAAATCGAATGTCATTCCTTAAAAGGAGATCTTTTACACAATCTATAGTGCCATTCAACGATTTTTAAATTTAACAGATTACTATTTGCACAAAATTATATGATTATTTATGTTTATAATATTTGACTCCTATGATGAATATAAATATAAATATTTTTTCACTTTTATTAAAATAATTATCAATATTCATTATATTGGTTACTGAATGGGACGAATAAAATCGTGAGCATTTTGTTTGTAAATTTTGATACGACTAAAATGTTTTGTAAAATAAGTGTTGGTGTTGTATAAGGTTCAAAGTGTGACTTGAATTCCTTTACTTTGGTGTGATAGCACCTACATCTAATTCAATCGAATGAAACTTATTAAATATTCATATCAGAATTACAATGTCAAGATTTGAACGATGACGACTTTTAGCTTTCACTTTTTTCTTAGAGCCCATAAAGATATGGAGTTGTATACATATCAATTATATCATAAGGCGCTAAACATGTTTGTTGAACAATTGAAATCGTGCATATATGCATATATATATATATATATATATATATATATATATATATATATTATGTTTTTATAACAATAAATTCCCAATAAAAACAAAAAGGTTTTTGAAGGTAGAATTTATTTGCGTCGGAACTAGTGCGTTTCTTTATCATGCTTTTTGCCAGTCATATTTAGAAACGTATATGACTATATTTTAAACTTGCAACTTGACTATAGTGATCATAATCTAATATCTTCAAAAATATTATATTCTGCATATTCTGTTAATGAAGATGTAAAAGTTCTAATTTTAACTAAATTATACTTTTTTCCTCATCCTACAGTTAAGTTGCATAAACTTTCCGATATGTCAATTTTGGATTTGATCAATAAGAATTGAGTATTAGCAACTTTCAAAACGTTTGTTAACAACAATATTTGAAAGTAGAGGGCAAAAGATGTGTAACCAGTCATAACCTTGATTCTTACCACGCTATTTGGAGATGAACGGCAATGTTTGAAAATCTATAACAAAAGTATTATTATTTATTTTTTGTTGTTAGTTTTTTTAGCTGTGAGCACTGTTGTTTAGTTTGAGACTTTAATATAATTTTTAAGTATACATTATTTAATTGTTTTATAATACGAATTGTTAATTTTAAGTGAGATACAACTTTTTTTTATAATCTCTATAAAAGCTCACACATGGGTGGGGTAAAAAAGACCATCTGAATCTTTATTCTGACAAAGTTAAATTAAGACATTAAGTTAAAAAAGCAATTTCACAAGAGGTAAATTGAATAAATGGTTATTCTAACTCTGTTGACGAATATTTCCGAAGAAAGAACGGTTATAAACAGTGTTATCTTGTAAAAAATGTACCCTTGAAATTTATATTTTGCATTGGTTGAATAATGTAGCTCTAGCTATTATTTCGTAAAATCTCTTCAAAATTAGAAATAATACATTAGACCTGTTTGCTCCCTGGCCGTTACTTCGCTTATGAGGTAAAAAGAACCAGGTGACAAATTTTTGAAAAAGCAGCCAAAAAACACATTTTTACGATGATGTATTTTAAAATTGGCTGGAAGTTTCATTGAACATAGTCAGATTTGTTTGATATGTATTATTTGTATTGTGAAGATTATATTGTGAAGTATTGTTTCACAATATAATCGCTCAAACTGAAATTGGACCTTTGTGCCCGCCTTACCCTATCTGTAATTGTATTATTTTTTTAATATATTTAATTTCAGTCAATGTTCGACAAGTGAATTTAAGTGTGCAGTAAAGATTTATTCTAAATAGTTTGAACATTATATTAAAATAACAAATATTTAAGGATATTATAAAAAACATGTTTTTAACCATTTTTTGCCTTTGTGCTTATATAAAATTCTGTTCATTTTTCTTCAAAATTAACTTGAAAAGTTAGCACTTGTTCATTCGTTTTCATCATTTGTGTGAATTTTCACGAGATTGAAAATAAATTATCGAATATATTAATGTAGAAGCCTGTTTCAATCCGCCTTTGGAATTTTTTATTCAGAATTTTTCTCATTCTGAACTTATTGTTGCGTGTAAGCATACGCGTTGTATATGTTTTTTATTTGATGACTAGTTGTAATTTAATTATCAAGTAATTGAAAATATTTACTTTAAACCTATATATTTTCGAGAACCCCGGGGCAAACGAAAAAATCTGGGACAAATAATGCTATAAACCCGGGACTTTCCCGGCCAAACCGGGACTTATGGTTCTTTACACTTTAAACTTAGTTTACTACTTTTTTGATTTTCGGTGTCAAACGACACAGCAAATATAAAATATAAAACTATAGAAGGAGGAAACTGAAAAATATGGCAGGAAAATATAAAATATGATCTAAAGCGATCAGCAGCCCATCATGAAGCGAAAAACTCTGATCATAGATAAGGAAATGACTCCGATAATCTGACAATAAGATTTTCAGAGATTGAAATAAAATTTGTACTAGTTATTTTGTAGTTTAATGTTCATAATTTAGAGTTATTGAAATTTATGTTTGTCATTTTATAGAAAACTAATTGTAAGTTTATATATTTTTTTACAGAAACTTGGGACACAATTCCTTGACAACTCTGGAAGAAGACGCATTTTCAGAATTGGACCATTTAGCTATTTTGTAAGTTCTCTGCAGTGGCGTACCTAGGGGGGGGCGGTGGGGGCGGTCCGCCCCGGGCGGCACTTATTTTGGGGCGGCATTTTTTAGTTTATTTTTACATAGTTGTAAAAAGCAACTTATTCATTTTATATTTATTAACTTCCGTAGGGTAAGTTATAGTAATGGACCGAAAATCAAAAATGAATTTTTTTACATTTCTTCACGTTTTGAAGGTTTCTGACCATTTTGGCATACCTCAGAAAAAATGGAAGAGTGTGTGTTTTGTGTGTCCGCATTTTTTCGTTCACGTTTTCGGGCGACCCGATCAACCGATTTGATGGTACAGAAAATAGAAATCGAGTTTTTGAGAGAATGAAACATCCGATTTAATTGATGCAAAAAACTTCAATTTGTAATGATGAGGAGAAATGGTGATTAGTTTTTGGCAAAGGCAGAGATACCAAGCAAAATGTGCAAAGAATATCTATTTTTGAGAAAACTAAGCATCCGATTTGAATGATTCAAAAAACTTTCTATGTGGATTTTAATTTGAATTCTACCTAAAGTTCAAATGCTCACTTATATACTTGAAATAAATAATTTTAACTTTGTAATTCAGTTTATATATTTCTTATAAATATTAGACAATGCCCTTTATTTCAAATTTGATTGATTGAGTTTTGTTTATTTACTTTTCTGTAAACATATATAAGTTACAGTATTTATAACTATAGATTTGAAAACATTTAATTTTCCTCGAATATATCATTACAGTACGGAAAGTTCCAGCAATTTGCCTTAACTTACAATGCCATACACCAGTAGTTAACTTCCCCAAGGAGAAGTTTATGTTTTCATCAAAAAATCCGAATCGCTAATTTTATGTTTTCTCGACGTTTCAAGCTATTCTGAATCGAATGAGCCCAAATTTGGCAAAAGTATGTGTGTGTATGTGAACAGATTTTTTGTCGTAAATCGTCGTTTTTTCAAAAACGGCTAGACCGATTTCAAAAATTTAAAAGCCACTCGATGTATCTCGATGAGGACTATTATTTGTCAGATTTGTGCGACGATCGGCCAAGCTGTTTCTTTATAAATCGCAGAAAAGTGAAAAATTTTTCGTCTACGTTTTAGCCTGCAATTCTGAATTGATTTTGAAAATTCAAAAACCGTTCGAAAGATATTAGTTGGGAATCGTGCTGATTAGTTTTTGGTAGAGATTGGCCGGGCCGTTTTCTTAATAAAGTTTTTAAAAAAAAATTTCGATTATTTTTATGATTATTTTTTTGACGGTAGATACCATAGTCTTCTAGATCATACTAAAATATTACAGTCCTACGACGACTGGTTTAGCTTAAAAAAATCGTCAAAGTTTGCAAAAAATAGTATGGTCTTTTTGACATTTGTCAAAATTAGACCTTTGATCGACGTTTTCTCAAAAACGCCTGAACCGATTTCAGAAATTTAAAAACCATTTGATGTATCTCGATGAGGCATATCGTTTCTCAGTTTTGTCGGTCGACGGTCGGCCGAGCCGTTTCTTTGTAATTTGGAAAGAAGTGTTAAACCTTTCGTCCACATTTATGCTCATACTACCGAACCGATTTTAAAAAATTAAAAACTGTTCGAAAGACATTAGTTGGGATTGATACTGATCAATTTTAGGTGAAAATCTACCGAACCGTTTTCTTGTAATTAACTGTTGAAAAAAAATTTAAGCCGATTTTTATGAAACTTTCTTTGGCGATGTATATCATTGCCTTATAAAACTTACTGAATTATTACGGCCTTACGACAAGTAGTTCAATTTTAAAAATTTATCAAAGTTAGAGAAAATGTTTTTTTGACGTTTGTTAAAAATCAAATTAGATTATTTAGTTGGTATAACATAACGATAGTGTACTTGGTCTTGAACATAGTAAACCATTAAAGTCCTACGGAAACTGGTTCAATTATAATTATTGATTAATTAAAATTATTGATATTTGAAAATTTGCTTTTAGAAAATACTCCGAGATAACGTGTTTGTTCGTTCGTTTGCAATGATGTGTAATAAATCCACTCGGAATACTTTTAATCACTCATAAATTAATTTATTTTTTATTGATTAAGTCGATCATTTACACATTTCGGGAAGTTCATGTAACTTGCCTAAAGGCAAAATACCAGTACCAACTAGTTTTCTTTCTTGAATTGTCATTTTTTTTTTGAAAATCAGGGCTGGCGGAAGGCGGGGTCTGCTAAGTCTGCAAAGCCTTGGGGCATTATATAAATATGTTGACGAGTGCATAAAAATATATCAGAAAAAATTACTCTGTGTAATATTGATTAAATAACTTAATAATTTTTTAACTTCCGTAGGGTAAGTTATATATAGTAATCGCAAAAATGTCGAAAGTGAAAATTTTTATATATCTTTACGTTTCAGAGGTTTCTGAATTTTGGCATATCTTAGAAAAAATGGATGTGTGTGTGTGTGTTTAGATACAAACTTTTGTCGATGATTGTAGTAACACGCATGAACCGATTTGAACAAAACATTCGATTCGTACTGATAAGACGTGCTAATTACTTTTTGGCAAAGGCAGGTCTAGCCGTTTCAAAGATACGGGGAAAAAAAGCCAAAAATTGTGATTTAGTTTTTGAGAGAACGAAGCGTCCGTTTTAAGTAATTCAAAAAACATTTTATTTGTATTGACTAAACAAAGAACTGTTTTTGGGATGACAGGTCTAGAGGTCTAGCGATTACGGAGAATCAAAAATAAAAAGTAAAAAATTGACATATTTGGCGGTCCAAAATGATCATTAGACATATCCACGTCAAATTATCTGATATTTTCTAGAGATTTTAATAATAAGAACAAATTTAATTTACATTTCTATGGGTTCCGTATCAATGTCTAGCCGTTTCGCTCCGATATTTCGTCTCCAAAACAGCTGCGCAGCGCGATTGATTTGAAAAAAAGTTACAAATTTTCAAAAAAATTCAAAATATAAAAAAAAAATTCAAAAAAGCCATTTTTTTCAAAATTTTCGAAATTCTCAGCAATATATTTTTTTCAGATTTCAAAAAATTTTTAATCTTTTTTAAAAATGTTATGTTTCGGTGCGAGAAGTGCCAGCAATTTGCCTTAAGGCACGATGCCATGCACCACTAGCTTATTTGTATTAATTTATGAAAACTACTATTTGGCTGACTTATAATTGAAAGGGCGGCAATCTGGAGACCGCCACGGGCGGCAAAAATTCTAGGTACGCCACTGGTTCTCTGTATATTATATATATATATATATATATATATATATATATATATATGTGTGTGTGTGTGTGTGTGTGTGTGTGTGTGTGTGTGTACACCGTCATAAAATAATCTAATTATAAAGGGATACTAGTGAAATTTATAAAATCTAACGAAATTTTATAGAAAATAGATTGAAAATTTAAATATTATAAATAACTTTTATACTATTGACATGGTTATTGAAATACTTACTTAAATACATATATTTTGTAATATTGCAGATTATTAAAAAGAAACAGAATAAGCTCTATTCACGATTTGGCCCTGGCAAATTTATCAGCACTCCGTGTATTGTAAGTATATGTTGTTGTTTTGGTTATAATTATTTTTTGCTTATTATTTTTGTTTTATATTATTGTATATTTCATATATTCATTGATTTGATATTGTGTTATAATCGTACGGACACTAGGGGAGCTAGGGGCTTGCTGTAACAGTTTTTTTTAAATTAATGTATCTTGAAATCCACTACTTATATATATTTCTACGAAATGAAGATGAATAGTTGCTGTAACTATTCTTCTACGGAATCAAGTAAAAATATATCCACAAATGTTATTTATTATTTCACAATTAATCAATTTCAAGAAAAAGTGGGGTGTTACAAGTTACCTCGTGTTTGGGACTAGTTGTAAAATCTACCGGAGCAAGTAGCAACGAATAAAGCGACAAATATGTTTTTGATAATTTATTCTCTACTTATTTTTAAGAAAATTGATTTGTTTCTTAAGTAATTCTTCTTATATATCAACGCAAACTATAATTAATACGAATAAAATCTAATGCTTCCTGTAATATACATGTTTTTTATGAATCAACATAAACTACAATTAATATCATAATACCAATGAAAGACATATTGTCTCATGTAACACAATTTACATGAGCTCACATCTTACAAACTATAGATTTCATTCAATCTTCTTCACTTGAATCTGTACGTAAATTTTGTAAGGTACAAATAGCTCCAAGGTTTTGTTTCAACTAACCCCAGGTGAGATTTTTTTATTTTAATCAAGATAGCTATTTATACAATTTAGCAATAAAAAAAATTGTTACACATTATCAAAGATTGATCAATTTGAAACGAGATAAGATAAATAAAATTTGAAATTAGTCGATAATAATAACGCAAACCGAAATTTTATGATAAGATAGATAGATAGACAATTTTATATTGTCTGTAAAAAAATGACGGACGTGCACAGTTCTGTTTTGACAGGACAGTAGTTATGGCAATATTATGCACCTAACGACAAGTCGTTTAATCCTAAAAATTCGTCAAAGTTTGCAAAAATTGGTGACGTTTTTTTGGCGTTTTATCAAAATTAGACTTTTCATCGACGTTTGCTCAAAAACGCCTGAATCGATTTTAAAAATTTAAAAGCCATTCGATGTATCTCTACGAGGACTATCGTTTGTCAGTTTTGTGCGACGATCGGCCGAGCCGTTTCTTTGTAATTAGCGAAATAAGTATAAGACCTTTCGTCCACGTTTTGGCTCACAATCCTGAATCATTTTTAAAAAATCAAAAATTGTTCGAAATATATTGGTTGGGAATCGAAGATGTGATAAGTCAATCAAGTCAATAACAAATGGCTGCAAAACTCCTCTAATTTTATAAAAAATGTTACCATTCATTTGAATCGTTAAATAATATCTGAAATTACGTACATGATATATGTAATCGTGCCAGTATTTTCTTATAGCAGATGCTTAATATTTAACAAAATTATTTATTAGATTAAAAAAAAATGTTTTGACGATTTTCATGAAATTTAACATGGCGATAAAGTTTATGCACTAAACTGTCCTACGAAAGTTGGTTGAATTATATAAATTAACTAAAACTTAGAAATAAGGCTACAATTTTAGGACATACAAACAGGAATGTGTCTGTGCACTGTAATTAATAAGGTTACAAATATTATAAATGTGTTTGGAAAATATCAATTGTAAATTGGTATTGAAAGCGAAAAAAAATCTAAATCCCAATTTCGATTCATTAAGTCAATTATTACACCTATCGGAAAGTTTTTGCAACTTGTCGTAAGGCAAAATGCCACTTTCAACTACTTATTCTATGTTTTAAATTTAATGATCGGATAATATTTCATATATATTAATATATTATTCATTTCCATAGATATTAATATATTGTATGTTTTATACAATATATTATATTACATGTTTTATACAGTGTATTAAATTACATTGCATGTATAATATTCTATTATAAAAGGTAGATGCGAATCAGAATCATATTTTATGGTTTGGTACAATCCCTTTAGTATGTAACACTAAATAATATCTGCACGTGCCTAAACTTTCAATAAACAAAACTATTAGCATGTCGCTAATAAAATGTTTCCGACCACTGAATTAGGGTAAGGTGATTACATAATCTTTGAATAATAGAAGAAAATTCGCTACAGAAGAAGAAGTTAATAATACATAATTATAAAAGCATTCGTTTGTGTTACTTCCGATGTTCCATTTAGATTAATTCGATAACCCTTAAGTCATTGACATCGGGCTTCACGTTAGGGCTTCACTTTCAGAAGGTTGTTATATTCGTTTCGAATTGTAAGTGATTTCATAAATTTATTTATTTAGAGTAATAAATAATAAGGCATCGTGCCTTAAGGCAAATTGCTGGAACTTTCCGTGCCAATTTTTCTTTTTAAATAACATTTTTGAAAAAAATTTACTCTGAAATAATTAGATTTTTGAGAAACTATAAATTTTTGACAAAAATTTACTTTTTTTTTTTAAAAAAAAAGACTTTTTGAGGAAAAATTTATTTTGAAATATTTTGGAAATTCTGAACTTTTGTTTAAAGCAATCGTACTGCTTTAACTGCATAGAGACGAAATATCGAAGCACGTAAGCGCCGCGTCGCCGTCTAACGGATGAACATTGGTACGGAACCCATAGGAATGTTAACGAAATTTATACTTATTGTTAAAATTTTTCTAAAATATCTGATAATTTGAACGTCTAATGATCATTTTTGACCGCCAAATGGCTTTTTTTACTTTTTTGACTAGATTTCCGAAACCGCTAGACCTGCCTTCATGAAAATTTGATCAGTTCTTCATCTTGTTAATACAAGTAAAATATTTTTTGAATTATTCAAATCGGACGCTCCGTTCTTTTAAACTTTTTGCCACATATCTTCGGAACGGCTAGACCTGCCTTCGCCAAAAACTAATCAGCACGTCTCCTTATCAATACGAATCGAATTTTTTTTGAATTATTCAAATCGCTTCATTCGTGTTCCCGAAATCGTCGACGAAAATTTGTATCAGCACCCTATGTTCAGTCAAATACCGAGCTAAATTATTGCAAAAATAGACTTTTATGCTATTTTTTCTAGAATTTGTCTTTTGTCCTTATTTACCTCGCTTCTGAGTTTGCCAGGGAAAAAATTCAATTTTTTTTATTTCAAAGGGCTTTCACGAAGCAATCGCTATATTATTTAATTGAACAACAAAATTACGAATCATAATCTTAATATATATTTCTAAACATAATTTACAAAAATCTATCAACTCTTACTACTGTTATAAATATTGCTTTTATAGGTATTTCTGTTTTATTGATCAATTAAAACAGATCAATTGTTACAAATGAGGTAAATATACCTTCTGCTTGAAATACATATGCCATGAGAATATTTTATACAAATATTACACTGCATACATCTTTCGTATGAAGCTTTGACAGTAAAATAATGTAGGGTAGGGCGGGGCACAAAGGCACAATTATATACCAAAATAATTATACCATAACAAATAACACATATCAAATAAACATCTATCTGACAATTCCCAGCTAACTCACTCATCTTTCTAGAAATGTTTTTTTTTGCAATTTTTCGAAAAATTGCAACTTGGTCGTTTTTAACCCATATGCGGGGTAAATGAGGACGGCCAGGGGGCAAAGAGGTCTAATGTTTTACTTTAATTTTAAAGGGTTCTACCAAAAGAATAGCTACATTATTCAACCAATTCAAAATACAAATTTAATGGGTAATTTTTATACAGAGATAACAATGCAATTAACCTTGATCTGGTATTTTGTAAGAAGTATTCATCAGTAGACTTAATTTACTTTTTTATTTGCTATTTTTTATTTTTTACACCTTTGTCAGGGTGAAGGTTTAGTTGGTGAAAGCTCACACCCCACCCGTGTGTAAGCTTTTAGAGGAGGTTATATAAAAAAACCTGTTGAATCTAACTTAAAATTTACAATATATCCTAAATATCGTACACCTAAAAATTATATTAAGATCTGGAAAACTAAGTAACAGTTCTCACAATCAAACCAAATAATGCAAGAAAATACTTTTACTAAAAAAATGAATAAAACTTATAATTATTATAGTAACTATAGTAACGAATAGTTTCTACAGAACAGTTGCTACTTAATAATTGCTTATTGTGAATCAAACCCCTTTATTCTTCGAGTCTTCAAACTCATTTATTAAACTCTTGAATATTTTTACTATTTTAGCTAGTTAGTATTCACCAAACTCAACTCATTATAATAATTTGATTTCTAATTATAATGGAAAGGAATGAATTTTAATAATTCACTCAAATGAAAAATGTGCTGTTTTATTAATCTACATCTATGTCTGCTAATTCACTAAAATAGGCTAATTCACAAAAATAACTAAACTTCAAATTACATTCAAGTGGAAGATATTTAATCTGTTTTTGATGTACATGGAACTTATCGCCGTATCAAACGCAACATTGTGCGCAAAAGGTTTTCATAGAAAATCTTTATCGTATGTACAGAATTAGATATTGGACATGCTATCGAAGTAATTTGTATATATATATAACTTAAACTTTGAATAAGGAACCCAATATGTAATGAAAACTAGTAGTGCATAGTGCTTTAAGGCAATTTACGGGAACTTACTACAATTTAAAACTTTCAAAAGTTTAAAATGTTTTGTACACATTGGAAAAAATAAATTTTGAAAATTTTGATTTTTTGAAAGGTATCGACTTATTTAAAAAAATCGGATTTTGGTTTATTTTGAAATTTTTAAAAAAATTGGATTTTTTTCCGAAGCAAATAGCTTTGAAAGCTCTTTTACAGATGAAATATCGAAGCAGCGTAATCGATAATTCAAAAAACATTTTACTTGTATTGACAAAATAAAGAACTGAAAAAATGAGTGGGAATGTAGGTCTAACGGTTTCGGAGATCCAATAAAAAAGTGCCATTTGGCGGTAAAAAAATGATTATTAGACATATGCCCATTAAATAATCA